GGCCAGTTAAAGAGGTCCATCTTTGATGAAGGTTGTTGGATTCAGGGGGGTTTGCCTAGCAGCCTCCCTGTCCACCCTATCCGGCCCTTGCTGATCCCTTAAAAGTTGTTACAGTGATAGCACCAAGATGCTGGCATCTATGCTTTGCACTTTTACTACAAAGCATTGGGGACATTAAAGCAGCAGTGTCAAGTGGACATATGAAGATGTGTTACATGCAGTCAAGCCACTGAACTCTTTGGCATGCTATTGACTTTTCTAGGTGGTAGCAGCAGCACTCTAGGGTCTCAGAGCAAAATATTGCCTACCCTGATCCATGACATGTTTTAACTGGAGAGTAGGGGGACTGAGCTTAGGGCTGTGTCAGGTGCATGTGCAAGGCATGTGCTGTGCCGCTTAGCAATTGCCCTCACAATGTAAACAGTGGTGGAGGCACAGATCCAAGCTCATTTTCATGCCTCTTCTGCTCTGTGGTTCTGATGGTGGCAGGGAAGCCTTATGTTGTTCCTCTGCATGACATCTGTGGATGTCACTTAATAGCCTTTGTGTTTCATGATTTGCTACACAGTTCTCCCCTTTTCTCTCAACCTCTTGATTTTAGGGTACGAACATTGCTGCAGGCAAGGCCATGGGTGTGGTTGTGGCAACAGGGGTCAACACCGAAATTGGCAAAATTCGTGATGAAATGGTGGCCACCGAGCAGGAGAGGACCCCGCTCCAGCAGAAGCTGGATGAATTTGGGGAACAGCTGTCAAAGGTCATCTCACTTATATGCATTGCGGTGTGGATAATCAACATTGGTCACTTCAATGATCCTGTCCACGGTGGCTCTTGGATCCGGGGTGCCATCTACTACTTCAAAATTGCTGTCGCCCTGGCGGTGGCTGCAATCCCCGAAGGTCTGCCTGCTGTCATTACCACCTGCTTGGCTCTGGGAACCCGCCGGATGGCCAAAAAGAACGCTATTGTTCGAAGCCTACCATCCGTGGAAACCCTGGGCTGCACTTCAGTCATTTGCTCAGACAAGACTGGCACTCTCACCACCAACCAGATGTCTGTCTGCAGGGTAAGGGTGATACATTCTGTGTTAACATCAGCATCACTCTAGAATGTATTTCAGAGCTGCAAATGCAGTCAATGTGATTTTCTGTCTAGCTTCCAAGCTCTGGTTTGTTTAGTATCTTCTAGAGGTTTTATTACCAGCAAGCCATAGCCAGATTTAATTGAAGCTGCCTTTTCTATAGATCAAGTGTTATTTGCAGCACAAGAAACATCGTACAAGACTTAGTGGCTTCTATCCCTTCTATTTCTGTTCAGTCCTGGGCTCAGCATGGAATAATGAAGAGTACCTTTAGGATGCCTTTCCTTCACCAGTATAAAGGAGCAAGAGCTCAGTAGCACCTTAAAGACTTAACAAAATATGTGGCAGGGTATGAGCTTTCGTGAGTCACGGCTCACTTCTTCAGATACAGCTAGAATGGGAGTCCTTCTGTCCTATTTATTGGAAAATGGAGTGATTTCAGATGCTGAATGACATCACCAGAGTAACCTTCACCCACTCAGCTGGGATAAAGTAAAAGTGCTGGGGGTGGGGCTGGCTTTTTCCAGGCTACAAAAGCTTCAAAACCTGGTTGCCTAGAAGTTATTCCTGTTGTCACAGGCAACCAGTCAATTCATATATAGTCTTATAGAAACGGCAGTTTAGTACAGATCCATTTTACCCTTTTTCAAAAGGCTCTGAAGTTTTTGGATAACTCCATATTAAAGTGCCTTCATATAACATTAGAGAATAAGGTGAAGGTAAAAGCTGGAGGCACTGGGCAATCATCCCGTTTTTGCAACTTTGAATACTTCTGGTTAACATTAGTGTTTCCAGGCTGGGTTAGACGTGGAAGGCCCAAATTTAAAATCTGGTGCATCATCTGAGTTGGTGAAATAAACAGAATTCTGACTAGATTCCCAAGGTCACCTTCAATGCTAGACGCTTCGTTCTGAGTAGAGCAGCCAGCTTTGTTTCTCTTCCTGGAGAAAGCTATTTTGAATGCTAATTGAGCTACAAATTGTAGCATTCTTTAGCAGTTAAACCAGACTACTCATTCTCAATCTGTCGTGCCTCACTTGCACTTGAAATTCTGAGCAGGAATTTAACAGGAGCACAAAGTGAGATGTGGAATTCAAATTAAAGGACCTTTTTTCGTAAGGTAAATTATCTGATGGTCTAAGTAGGCTGAAGCATTACATTGTACTGTATGACTTTACATAATTGTCTTCAGAGTTACTGGGCCAGAGTTGAATTTCATATGAGCAAAATGGAAATAAAGATGTCTTACCTCTGTGTGTAGCTTTTTTAAAGAAATGCTCTGGGTTGTGGGTCTCTTTAAAACAACAGCCATTTGCCTCTGCCTTTTCCTAACTTTGCTGTTTACTCTGTATTGCTCCCTCGTCTTGTCTTGCATATACTGCTCTAGTGTTCCTGACTTTGAGACACAAAGCAGTTGCTCATCTGTATTCTGGAGGAGGTTGCTTGCAGGGGTATTGCATAACTGCCCAGTTCTTAAGGAGGTAGATGCCAAAAAGCAGAAAGGTTCCTCAAAACCCAAGTTTTCTCCTTTGGAAGAGAATCTCTTACAAAGCAGTGTTAATCTGTTACTTTTTTTGCATTCTTCTAGACAAATAGGAAAGTATTTCTAATCCCAGCCTTTATGGGATGGGGTTTTTTTTTGTTTGTTTTTTTGTTACTGTCAAGGTTCATTAGATAATGCAGAGAGGTTTTGGTTGCAAATTTTTGGAAGGATGCCTTAGCACGTAAAAGCAGTAAAGCAAGATTTGCCTGTATACAAGTAAAGGCTATCTCTCTAGGAAGCTTCTGCAGAAGTAATCCTAGGGGATGGTTTTCTGCATTGTGGTCTGATGCCAAACTGTAGCTAGTCCAAGCTGGTGTGAATTTTTAAATCCTTGAGAATTCCATGGAGCAAGCCTTAAAGGAGACTCACTGCAGCCCCTTGAAGGCTGGAAGTTTATATAGAAAGGGTTATCACTCAGTAGGGACATGTGCATATATGTGTTCTGCCTTGGCCCTGGGGGGGTCATCATGGATTTCCAAGTTCACGGGTGTTTTTTTGCCTGTCTCCTCTTCCTGCTTCTTTCATTCTTGAGCTGTGCTACTCTCTCTAGGGAAAAGTCCTTTCCATCATCTCCTCAAGAATACCCACACAAGCCAAAGCTCACCTTCCCTTGCCTTCTGACTTCTCCTGTATCTCATTCCTTGTTACTTAGTTCCTGGCCACCCTTCCCTGTCTTGTATAAGGTATATGCTCCTTTTACCCACATTCTGTGGATCACCATACTAGAAGGAATATTAAATAGATCTCCGGGAGCACAAATAAACTTCCATGCACAAGACTGGAATCCTGTTGCTTGGATGCAGACAGAAATCATTCTTGGAGTCTGGCACCCGCCTGAGTTCTTTGCTTGATCCTAAGGGGAAAAACGCCAACAACTCCTGGAAGCAGAAGTTAATGCTCAGGAAGTTAGAGTGATGGTGCGCTCAATGGAATGGACTGGGAACAAAACCCCAAACTAATACACTGTTGTCTTGGCTTAGTGCTTCTGCATTTTAATGGATTGCCAAGAACTGAACTCCAAATTTATGTAAAATGTCTAATGTTGAGAGCGGTGTGGTGGCAGAAGTGGTGTTGGGCAGGGGTTTGAAGGAATGCTTGAGTAGGAAGGTCATGACTGGAGGCTTTAAGGAAAAGATATATGTAATGTTGCCTTGCACTGAAGCTTCATCCCCTGAGCGGAAATATATTACACTCATTGTCGAAATATTGAAATATCTCCATGAGGGCTAAAATTTGAGGCTTTAAAATTACACTCTCTGTATTTTCTTTAAAAAGCCCAAGGATAAGATATGCAATGCTATATAAACCTTGGGCTACTAACTCCACACCTCTTGGATGGCAGCAAGGATACTGGGGAAGGAAACAGATTCTAAAGTTATTGTGCTTGCAATATGGAACATTGTCATTCTGATTAAAAGTGTGCATCAGCTCAGTTTCTGTGGGCAGAGATTAAGCATCAGCATCAGTGATTGTACAAGCAGAAGAGGTGTGAGTAAACCCTTCAACTACAGGCCGACACTTGTGCGTTGATCAAATGGGGGGGGGGGATTTTGAGTAATCACAAGGATGAGATAGAAGGGCTTGTCTGTGGTCTTTGACTTTTTCAGATAATTCTGAGACAGTGGCTCCGTGTTGGCCATTTTATTTATTTATTTTATTTATTATTTATTATTCACATTTTTATCCCGCCCTTCCCGGAGGCTCAGGGCGGCTAACAGGGCATATCGCCAATAAAATAGAAAACAGTACAAAATGTTTAAAATACATCAACATTAAAACAATATTAGTGCTCCTCTCAGTTAAATTCCAATTTACAATTTCTAAAAAAGGATGGCCGCCCCCTAGACGTCCCGTTCTCGCCCATGATGCAGCGGTTGTGGGGCATTGATGATACATGCCCCACATCATGATGTCCATATATAGGGCGTGGATGGTAAACTCATGCGTTGGTGGTGCATTAGTGGTGGTGGTGGCGGCTCCTATTCAAAAGCCTGGCGGAAGAGCTCCGTCTTGCAGGCCCTGCGGAACTGTGCTAGGTCCCGCAGAACTTTAACATCTCTTAATGGCAGATAAAATAATCTTCATTCCTGGAAAAGCTTTTGCATTTGGGTCTTTGACCATATATGAATTCTGAGGTGCTTCAGTTATTTGAACATAACTATAGCCTCCTTTTTCTTATAGGTATTCGTTCTGGACAGAGTGGAAGGGGATAGCTGTTCTCTGAATGAATTTACAGTGTCTGGCTCAACATATGCTCCCGTAGGAGAAGTGTAAGAGGTTTTTCCTTGCTAACTACCTGCCAGATGATGCGCTTAAAGGTCTGGCTGCATGCATAGTGGCACCGGGACTTTTAACTGTCTGAAAGAAAAGTTGATGCTACAAAATGAGACTGAAGAGCAGCTTCTTGATTGTGCATAAATTTTAAATTGGTGATGTTTTGGAATGGGGCAGGTCACTGTGGACGACTGAGGCTTTCTTTCCACAAGATTACGACAAGTGTTGGACTGTTCCCAATAAATGTAACTGTTTACTTTAAGTGCTTATCTAAAGATGTGGTTGTAATTTAAAATCCCAGGCACTCTCAGAACAAGCCAGCATTTTGTGTACATATGTTCTAGTGTATGTACCTTACGGGTATAGATGTGCAGGCCCGTGGCTCAGTGATAGTGCGTGTGCTTGGCATGCAGAAGATCCCAGGTCCAGTCCCCAGCGTCTCCAGTTAAAAGGATCATTTACTAGGTGATATGGAAGACCTTTGCCGGAGAACCTGGAGAGCTGGTGCCAGTCTGGGTAGCCAAGACTGACCTTGATGGACCGAGGGTATGAGGCTGTATAAGGTAGCTTCATGCATCAAGTCCTTTCTAGGAAATGGGAATCATCACACATTTTGAATCTCGATTTTTCCTAGTTGTTTACAATTTGTTAATTGTTCATTCTTGAAAATCTGCACATCACACGGCGGATTCTTTTTGTGTCAGCATCCTTCATGTATAAAGAAACATCTAGCCCCGAGAGAGGTGCCCCTTCAAATCTGTATGATTTCAAAGAATGACCTTGATAACGCGCAAGGTGGCTACTGCAAAAGGGCTCATATCTGTAGCCATTTCCTGTTGGCTTCATTGACATGGAGTTCTTGAGAAGGAACAAATAAGGAGATGCACCGTGAGAGGCTTCAACAAAATCTCACCCCACCTATTTAAGAGAGAGGCGGGATCCTAAATAGTTAAATCTTTAGGTTTTGTGGGGTAAGTCTCAGATATCTTTTCTGAATGGATTCCATCATGGACCCTTCTGAAGTCTGTCTGCTCACCAATTCTGCGTTTAGTTAGAAGTCCCAGCTGCCCCTGGGCAACAAGTCTCATAAGACAGATAGAAATAATTCATACCAGAATGCAGCATACTGTCCCCAGGGACCATCATTCTTTTCTACACTTGTGTGGGCAAGAAGAGACGGTCTTCAGACAGCCTCAAAACAGCCTAGCTATGAAAAGATTGCTAAATGTAATAGATTTTATTGATCTGGAGAATCCCCGTCTCATTCTATAAGGCTGCACAGCACAAAAAGATGTTCACTTCTACTGTCTTTAAAAAAAAAAAATGCGTCACATCCTCCTGGTGGGACCTGTGTAGCCTAAGCCAGGCCATTGGATGTTCTGGGGACTCAAGGTGTGAGGGATGTGAGTATGAGAGGATAGTAGTTGCTAAGTGTTTTGTCGCCCTGTCAGCTAGTAAACTGTGATGTTACATGAGCAACTGGAATGAAAGCCTCACAGTCCATTTGTTTCTGACAGGCATAAAGATGACAAACTTGTCAGATGCTCTCAGTATGACGGCCTTATAGAATTGGCAACCATCTGTGCCCTCTGCAACGACTCTTCTCTGGATTTCAATGAGGTGAGCCGCTCTTTCCAAAATAAAGAGAGCCGCAGAAAGAACAAAATGGCTGCTGTTTACAAGAAACAAGTGTATCTTGAGAGGTGCCCGAAAATAAGAGATATAAGCTGTTGTCTGCAGTCACAGCATTCCGTGCTTGAGGAGTGGCCAAGGACAGTGGATGGGAACCAGTCAGTCAATGCGTTCTAGGCTTAAAGAACAAACACCCTGCCGGGGTCCACATTGAGTCTCTGTTCAACCAGTGCCGGTCCCTTGCCATCTGCACCACAGTGGACAAAAGTAGCTAATCAGTGGCCAGGTTGCCGGATGCTTTCCGTGCAATTAGCAGTACGGTGAGGAAAGGAAAACACCATTCCTGCTTCTCAAGTTGCATCTCATTGTTAAAAAATGGCATGCCGTTTGATGGCAGAGCAGCTTACAAATGCTCTGGTGTTGGTGTTTCCATGGCATTGGAGTTAAGGGGACAGGAGAAAGTTGAAAGCTGAGGAGGAAAAGAGCCAAATGTGCAGGAAAGAGAATGGCTTTCTTGATCAGAGGTTGCTAGTGGGGTTGGAAGGAGGCGACTTGATCCTTGTTCCTTGCATGCAGAGGGCAAGGAGTGGCACGAGATGTAGGCGTGAGTGAATAGCAAGAGGAGGGCCCAGGAGAAAAGCCTGCGGCAGGAGACGGCTGAAGGTAAACTGGCCTGCCCACACTTCTCGGGGTAGAGACTCGAGAGGATTGACAGGGTTCAGATTCTTGCAACAAGATAGGCCTGCTGTTTGCAAAATGTTTTTGTCAGAATTTCAATAGCTGTAAACAAGTGTAGCAGGCTGTAAACAAGTCAAGGTGACGTTTTTAAAAGAAGCGGCTATTAGTAAAGAAAAGTAAGGACTAGTACAGTTTGGAGAAAGTGCCGTTTGTGCATTAACAGCTTTTCTACATTGTCAGATTTTCTTACAAATCCAATTCATGCTAAATAATTTTGTGGAGATGTTGTTTTAACAGTAGCTTCACAGGTAGGGTTGCCAACCTCCAGGTGGAACCTGGAGTTCTCCCTCTATAACAGTGGATCTCCAGATGGCCAAGAGCATCTGGAGAAAGTGGCTGCTTTGGAGGGTGGACTCTTTGATATTAGATCCTGCAGCAGTCCACTCCCAAAATCTCCAGGTATTTCCCAACCCAGTGCTGGCAACCCTATCCACAGATGTGACTACTGGTCAATCTGTGATGATGCTAATATATCTTGATTTTTTTTTTTTTGAATGAAGGCAAAGGGAGTATATGAGAAGGTTGGTGAAGCTACCGAGACAGCCCTCACTTGCCTGGTTGAGAAGATGAATGTGTTTGACACGGAACTGAAAGGCTTGTCAAGAATTGAACGAGCAAATGCCTGCAACTCGGTCAGTAGTTCTACAGCGATGCTCTCAAAACAGGATTAAATAAATCTCCTTTTGTGCAAGCTCACTCCAGTGCAGTTCTGATACTTCTGCTCTTCTTCCCCCTGGCCTTTCCAGGTGATAAAGCAACTCATGAAGAAAGAGTTCACTCTTGAATTCTCACGAGATAGAAAGTCGATGTCTGTGTACTGCACTCCAAACAAGCCCAGTCGGACGGCCATGAGCAAGATGTTCGTTAAGGCAAGCATGCTTACGGGGTAGTGGTTGGTAATCAGCTCAAAGGCAGCATGGTTCCTGACATTTTGCCAAAACAAATTTGCTGCACAATCTCTCTCTTCCCCTTCCCCCAGTAAATTCAGGTTTAGTATTTCAGCTCCTGGAGTGAGCAAGCTGTTGCTTTACGTCTGCTCTTAATGGTTCCGTGGCAGGAAGGCAAATGACTCAACTTGGTTCTCGCTGATGAGGCTAATCAGTTTGTGCATTGTGCTCCTGCAGGGTGCTCCCGAAGGTGTGATCGATAGGTGTACGCACATCCGGGTCGGAAGCACTAAAGTGCCTTTGACTCCAGGAATTAAGCAGAAGATCCTGACTGTCATCCGAGAGTGGGGCTCAGGCAGAGACACTCTGCGTTGTCTAGCTTTGGCAACACACGACAATCCACTCAGGAGGGATGAAATGAAGCTGGAGGAATCTGCAAACTTCATTACTTATGAGGTTAGTTGAGTAAAAGGTTTTTGCTTGAGCTTCATCATATCTGTGTGCCTGCATAGCAGCAGTCCCCTCCGCTGAGAGAATTGTGACCATCTGCACATGCTTCAAGGGGAGGTGTGAAAACCTTCCTTATAAAGCAGCCTGGATGGTGTGTTGCCTTTTGACACAAGAGTCCTTGGTTCAAGTCTGTCTAATCACTGACTCAGTGGCCTTATCTAGGGCCATTCAGCCTCTCTGCTTGCCTTCACCACCTGCAAAATGGGAATGGCGTTGATGAATGTCACGGTACTGTCATGAGGATGACTGCAAATTAAATTTGAGTACTACTGTTATAGTATAAAATCATAAGAGTCTTGTTCTGTTGCACTGGAGTGGGGCCTGCTACCTCCAAGCAGTCTGGGGAGGTGATGCTCTGAATTCTTGGGGGGGGGGAGTGGGAGGGTTTCTGGAGTTCTCGCCCTGCTGGTGGACCTCCTGATGGCACCTGGGTTTTGGCCGCTGTGAGTCACAGAATGTTGGACTGGATGGGCTATTGGCCTGATCCAACATGTCTTCTCATGATCTTCGACGTGGTCTCTGCTTCACACCCATGGGGATCTAGTGCACACGCACTGGATCGATCGGCATTGTACCAAGCTCTTTAACGGATTTTCGCGCCCAGACCTCAGGCATGCGTAGGAACCTCACCACGCATGCCCAGAGGGGTGGGTGCGGACATCCCACCAGTTCCTTTCTTACTGCCGCATTGGAAAGACCTTTTCTTCGTCGGTCGGATCGGTTCTCTTTTTTGGCTACTTGCCTCACGGCTCTTTGGATTTTTCCCCTCAGTTTATTCTTTTTTCCTTAATTTTTCTTCGTTCGTTCTTCAAAAATCAAAAAAAAATCTTTGTTTTCTGTTGAGGGGGAAGTTGCCGGTTTACCTCAGTTTGGCCTTCGCCCCCCCCCCCCCCAAAACCCTTCTTTCTTCTCCATTTTTTATTTTTTATGGAGAAGTGGGGCTTTTTCAACCGCTGCAAGGGTTGCGGCAGTAAACTCGCTCCACCTGACCGCCACACCCTCTGTATTTTTTGTTTGGGGGAGTCTCACTGACCTGAGTCTTGCCGGCACTGTGCTAGGTTTTCGAACCAGACATGAAAAAACCGAGCTGCGCGCCTTAAAGTAGTGCTGCTTGAGTCGGCATTACATCCTCCTTCAGTGATGGAGTCCGACAGACCATCGACATCGACGGCTCCGACATCGAGGCCTGCCACCAACATCGGCCAACCGACATCGAAACCACCGGCATCAAAGGCGCAATCCTCTGCTTCCACTCCGGTGAAGAAGAAGCCCAAGCCAAGTAAGGAGCACAAGTCCGCAAAAAAGGGTTCCTCTAAGTCCCTAAAGACGGCAAAGAAGGGGAAGGTAGCGGTGTCTGCACTGGGTGATGCCCCAAAAGTGCCTCCCGCTCCAACGGCAGTATCGACATCGGAGGTACATGCCCCTCCACTAATACCGACCATTCAACTCTTGGACTCCCCTATACAACAACTTGACCGTCCTTACTCCGATATCAAGACGGTGCAGCTCCTTAGTCGTCCCATGGATGCAGAGGCTTCTCCCTCTCCTTCCCCGTCGTCGACATCGACGGTGTCAGAGGCTCCCGGCATCGATTCACATCGGAATCGACACGCCTCTAGCAGCACGCAGACTCACCCTCCACGTCTGCTTCTTGAATCTGTCGATATCGATGACCGAGATTATAGGGACCGCTCTCAAAGGCAGGCTACCGCTTTGTTTCCGAGACGTACCCAATCCAGAAGTCGATCCCCCCGAGTTTTTCTACCCCCCCCCACCTCTGTCTTGGGATCAACGCCAACTGAGGTATCTCTATGGGGGTTATCCACCATCCATGCCGTGGTTGACTCCGGCAGGCTATTCCGACTGGGATCGTTACTCGACCCACTCTGCCCACAGATCACGGTCGCCCTACAAATCAAGACCTTCAGCATCTCTGTCTCGCCCTCCAGCTGACGATCCTTCCAACCATAATCCGGAACTCAGTCGTCCTCCCAATCCCCAAGTCGTGCCACCAAAGCTTTTAACCAGTCAAACCGAGGTCACTCCGGTTCAAATGCCAGATCAGGACTCCTCTGATTCTGCAGAAGATGATTTTGATACGGGGGCCTCTGAGGCTCACACCTCTCCTGACCACAAGTCTCCAAATCAAGCTGTCGCAGATGATCTGCCTATATTCCTATCTTCCAAGCAGGGCTTTTGACTTCCCTCCCACCGAGTCAGCTCAAACACGTCTTTCTCCCTTCCTTCACACTTGGCGTCATATCACCACGAACGAATGGGTGCTGTCCATCTTGACCCGAGGCTACCGTATCCAATTCCACCAGAACCCCATTACATCTGTCTTCGTCTCCACACCCCCTTCCCCACCTCTCCTAGAAGAAGTGTCCATCCTTCTGCACAAGGGAACCATCGAGCCGGTACCACCATGTTTCCACGGGAAGGGGTTCTATTCCCGCTATTTCACAGTTCCAAAGCGGGATGGAGGCATTCGTCCCATATTAGATCTAAGGGCTCTGAACTGCTTTGTGACCTACCACCGCTTCTGCATGGTGTCCTTGCAGCAGATTATGCCACTTCTCCAGAAAAACGTCTGGATGGCCACCCTCGACCTCCAAGACACGTACTTCCACCCCTCCCACCGCCAATACGTACGTTTCGCAATTGGTCAACAGCATTACAACAACATCATTTATTAAAAACAGTCATAAGACCAGCACAATAAACCGAAGTAGTACAACACAGAGTCTACGACATAGGCTCCTTACAGCCATATTTCCTAAAATGTCAAACCAATACCATCATTAATGGCTCAAGTTACCGTACATTCTGCGTTTTCTAATTACCAAGTAACAATATTTAGCAACATTGCGTGAGACAGAATCATCGACTCCACCTTGTCTAACAAGCAGGAGCAAATTCTCTGGTGCATGGGAGTCCGGGTATATCTACCATAAAGTACTGCTGAGGGTAACACATCAAGCCGGGCTCTAGTAAATGCCCATCTATAGTTAGGTTTTTTTATGAGTCCAAGATAAGATGTGGCATTTAAACTAGGTCCCTGCTTTAATCTCCTATTATAGGGAGGCATGGTTGCATAGTCGTTTTGTGCTTCAATATCCTTAAATCTTTGGGATATTAATTTCTTTGCATGCTGCAGTCCTCCCTCTAACAAATTTACAGCATCTGTAAATTACTCAAAGACAAAGATCATGCGTTTTCATAAAAAATACAAAGAAATGAAATGGTCAATGGATGGGATCCCGGTAGTTCAAGTTAAAAATTTCAAATATTTGGGACTAACCTTTTCATTTAACGGAAAGGTTGCTAGACATCTTCAAAATGTAGCATGCTCAGCACAAAAGAGCGCAAATGCTATATTGTGCTTTTTTAGGAAAGAGGGAGCCCAGTATGTTCCGGCCGCTCTTAAATTATTCTTGAGCAAAGCTCTCCCACAACAGTATTACCAATATGCAGCCCTGCCATTCGGCCTTTCGAGCGCCCCGAGTGTCTTCACAAAGACTATGATTGTGGTTGCAGCTTTCCTCCGTCTCAAGGGTATGTCCATCTACCTGTACATCGATGATTGGCTCATAGTAGCGTCCTCCAAGGACACCCTAGTCTCAAACATCACCGAGACGCTAGCACTCTTGGGAAATCTAGGCCTACAAGTCAATCGGGAAAAGTCTCAACTTCAACCAGTCCAGAAAATACAGTACATCGGTGCTCTACTGGATTCCAAGACATGCATGGCTTACCTTCCACAAAACAGAGCGGCAGACATCATTCACCTGGCCACTGTCATTTGTACCCAGCCTTCAGTCACGGCTTTCGAAATACAGAGGCTACTCGGCCTTATGGCAGCAACTACGTCGGTCCTAGTCTTTGCCAGATTAAAAATGTGTTGCCTACAACTGTGGTTTATCCACAACTTTGAACCAACGAAAAACACACACACCACCCTCCTCTCCCCTCTTCCCAATATACGAGACTCTACTTTGGTGGACTGTCCCTTCCAATCTCTTCCAGGAAGCGCCCTATCATCCTCCATCACCCCAAATTACCCTAACCACAGATGCCTCCCTGTCGGGCTGGGGTGCACACATGATGGGGTTTTGTGTCGGAGGCAAGTGGGACACTCACGAACGTCGACGGCACATAAACTTCCTGGAACTGCTTGCAATACAGTTCGCTGTCACCAGTTTCCTACCTCTGATCAAGGGGAAATGTGTTACGGTCCTCACAGACAACACTACTGCCCTCAGTTATGTCAACAAGCAAGGGGGCACTGTCTCTGCAACCTTGCCATCCAGTTATGGAACCTTTGCATTGCCCACAACGTCTTCCTGCTAGCCACGCATATCCCAGGGCACATGAATGTGCAGGCAGACCATCTAAGTCGAGCAGGACTCAGTCTCCACAAGTGGGAAATGAACCCAACCTACCTTCTACCAATCTTCCACAGGCGGGGAGTTCCCCAAGTAGAAGTTTTTGCCACCAGGGCGAACAAAAAGTGCCCTCTGTTCTGCAGCCAAGGTGGCAGGGACCCACAGTCTCTAGGAGATGGTCTCCTTTATCCGTGGTCCAGAGGACTTCGTTACCTCTTCCCTCCACTACCCCTGCTTCTGAGAGTGGTCCGCAAATTCATCAGCAATGGAGTGGACTGCATCCTGATAACCCCGTGGTGGCCGAGGCAACCATAGTTCTCGACCATCCTCGATATGTCAGCAGGGGTCTACCACCAATTTCCTTCGGCACAGGACCTCCTCTTCCTATCCGACTCCCCTCTCATGTACCACGATGTACCACACATGAAGTTGACAGCGTGGAGAATACCATCAACAGTTTTTCCACTCGCGTAGCAAGCGTTTTGCTAAACGCCAGAAAGCCTACTACGCGAAAGTCCTACCATTACAAATGGCAAAGATTCTGTTCCTCCTTGGTTGACGATGCTCCTCGGGCTACCTCTGCAGGTCTCGAGAAAGTTTTCCAATTCCTCAAAGACTTCTGGCCACGGCGGCGCGAATGGCGACCGGGTCTCGGGACGCTCCCGGAGCCAGATCGCCCACACGCAGTTTGGGGGGGTCCCGCGCAAGCGGAGATCCTAAGCAGCCTTGGTGAAAAGGCTCCGAACTAGGGGGCGCTTAGGGGAGAAGCCTCTTGCCGGCCAGAAGGTCGGGAATTGAGGCTCTCCCTCTGCCCCAAACGGCCCCGGCTGCGACGTGCCCCGAATGGGGACTAGCAACGCCACCGGAACAGCGGAGTGATGGAGCGCTAAAGTAAAGCCTGAAAGAACGAGAAAAGCGATGAACCGTGAGTTGGTGATTGATTTTGAAGCGGCGGCATAAGCGTGCTTCGTCCCCCCGGGAGGCGGAAAGAAGGGAGGGAGGATTCCCCCCCCACCCGAGAAAGATACTTTTTAAAACGAAAAAGGGGGGCGAAGCGAAAATTAGTAAAAGCGCATTACCTTTTGGGAGGGAGAGGAAAGCGACGAAGAGGGAGGCATCCCCGAGCGGCATAACATGAACTTTTAAAGTATAAACAAAAGCGAAACATGGCGGGGCAGAGAAAACTGCTGGAGAAGCAGACAAAGAAGACAGGAGGGACTTCCTGTCCAAGCCCTTCCCCTGCTGGAACTGCTGTCAGTCAACTAGAAGGTGATCTTGTGCGCCATCTGCTGGAGGAACTGCAAAAAATCAACCAGAAATTGGACAGTATGGAAAGTGCCTACAGTGTTCAACAGAGAAAAATGACAGAGACAGCCGACAAGATGGATGATATTGCAAAGAAATGTTTGGCATCATCAGAAGAAATACAGAAAGTTAAGAAGAAGATCATTAAAGTGGAAAAACATCAAGAAAAACAGGATAATAAACTGTTACTGCTTCAAATGGAGAAAGTGAATTTGACTCTTCAATTTCAGGGGCTAAAAGAGGAGGAAAGAGAGGACCTCAGAGACATCTTGGCAACAGCATTAGCACCACTGACTGGCAACGAAGCGGGAAAAATAAAAGAAGAGATGGATTTGGCTTATAGCGCCTACTCCAACTTTACAAAGAAAAACAAGTTGCCAGCAGAAGTGGTCATGAAATTCACAAAGCAACGTCTCCGAGACCAGATTTTAAAGGCAGCTTCAGCAACGCCCTTGAAAATCGGAGATCAACCGATTAGGATTCTGAAAGATGTTCCATTTGAAATCAGAATGAAAAGAAAGGA